CAGGAAGGCCTCTCTGTGGACAGTGCATTTGGGAGTAGATTTGAAGTAGAGAATGTAATAGGATGACCGTGGCTGGATGAGCTCACAGAGCTGAAGACAAGCATGTGCAGCAGCTATGTTGGTAGGAAGACCTGGGTGCATTTAGGCAACTGAAAAAGGCTAGTTTGGTTGGCACCTATAAGCCTAGTGAAGCAGGCAAGAGATGAAATTGGAGAGGTAGCAGGCTGCCACATCATGTGAGCCTTGTGAGCCAACATAAGGGTTGGGCTGGATTCTAAAGATCAGGGATGCCCCTCCAGGGCATCCCAGCTCTGCTCCTCCTGGCTGCATTGGGCACAGACTGGAGGTCACCAGTACAGATGAGGGGAGACTGCTGTTTAGAAGCTCAGTATCAACCAATGATACCTTCATTTTTTTTTATTCTTCAGAAAGGACAAGAGAGAGAGGGACAAAAACTTGTGTTTGCTACCTATTATGCAGATAGAAAAGGGAGAAGTGATGTTGTGGAAGATACAGATGCTTAGAAGGAAGGTAATTCTGACTACACGGGAGAAAATGGCTTGCTAGTGGGGAGATGTGGCTGTGCCAATGGCTAGAGATGTCCTGCTGCTCTGTGATTTGTCATGATGGAAGGGGGAAGGATGTGGTCTTCAGTGGGGATGGATGGGATATGGTAGAGGGAAAGAGTCACTGGGGCAAGGAAGGGAGACCATGGGAATGAAAGAGCAGAAAGTAGGGTGAGTATTTCAGGTGGCACTCTATGGGGGTGGAAAGGAAGGCCACCGAAGGATGGAAATGTCAGATGACTCAAAAGATGGCAAGATGAAAGGAAGAGGGGGGTACAATCCAGAAGGAGGCAAGGATTTTGCCACCAGAGCAGAAGTTATGTCTCCGAAGGGACAATGCATGGAGATCAAGGAGTTGATAGGGCTTGAAAAGCAAGTCTCTGCATGATGTGCTATAGGAGAAGTGAGGACAGCAGAAAAGTCAGCTCTTCATTAGGGCATAAAAGTGGCAGAGTCTTCCCAAAGCAGAGTAGGATTTAGAGGAACTTGATGAATAAGGCACAGTGTTCCATAGCATTCAGTGGAAGTTTTGGGAAGGAGGAAAGGCAGGGCTGGATCCAGGAATGTACAGAGCAGTTAGAGCTTACAAAGTTGCATTTTATGGATATAAACATCTATCTGTGTTTGTTAATATTTTATTAGAACAAGAGAACTAGGTCAACCTTAGATAAAAATAGGGATTAAAAAACTCTCAGATTACAGAAAGCAGATGTCAGTTTTAACATCTGTGTAGCCCTGGTAAGCTGAAAAGACTAAAAACAAATAGAAAGCGTGATGTCCTGTCCTTATTGTGGTGCATATGGCATCAAGGGAGAAGAGGAAGAAAGGCAAAACCTCCTTAGACTTAAAGGCACGTAGTACATTTGCGTAGACCTGAAGGGATGATTAAAGATGCAGAATCAGGATCAACACTAATGGAATGACACATACCTTTATTCTCTGCAAAAAGACTTGCCTCTGAGATTCTTATTCATATCAAATGGATGCCATACTTTCCAAATTGTTTTGGCTATTGAAGTGGCCCTAGCACAGCACCACACAAAGTACTCACACAGGTCTAAAGCCTCAGAGCCCCAGTATTATGAGATACTACATGCTGTTTTCAGTGGCTGGAGTGTGACTGCTAAAGGCTTTCAGAGAACTTGTGTCCTGGGAATTTTCCTCAGAGCAGCATACATGCATTGGCTGACCCAGTGCTGGCTCCCCATGTGGGGCATCTCTGAAGAGCTCACCAAACTTCAGAGCTCTTACTTTTGGGGCCAGTGAACTCATGGACAAAAAACAAAGAAAAATTGAATTTTCTTCTTCCCATTTGTGGGAAGCCATTATATTCTTGGGTCTGGGCTTTCTTTTCTCCAAGTAGATGTAAAAAGCTTCTTCCATTTCAGAGTCGACATCTTAGTTTGGAAGTTGTGGCCCACCCAGGGATTAGATTAGGGTGACTCCACAGGGGAGAAGATAGAGGCAGGAAGAAGAGAGTCATGGCTATTTCCAGAGGTGGACATCCTGACTGCTGATAAGATTGCTGGGAAAGGGGGTGTCCTGTAGGCACTGGAGTCCTGTACCCCCCCCCATGTGATAAAATATTAGAAGGGATGACTGAATAGGCAAGTACTGTGGTGCGGGACCAGAAGCATCTGGGGTTGGGGTTTACCACTCCCTCAAACACATTCTATCAAGATGGTACAGCCTTGCACTAATTTCTAAGGAGATATGTTAACATGACATTTGTTAAAATATATATTTAAAAAAACAAACTTGACTGCAGCGAGTTTTAAGCTGTACTGTGCATCATCAGCATTGCCTAGATTGTTTGCTGAAACACAAATTGATGGGTCCCACCTTGAGTTTCTAGGTCACTAAGTCCAGGGTGGAGCTGAAATCACCATTTCTAACAACTTTGTAGGTGACAGGATAAAAGGGAGACAGTGAAACTTAAGGAACAGTGTCCAGAGATGTGTCTTTTATTACATGTCTGCTTGCTCAGCAGCCAACTAGGGAATCTCTGCCTCATCTCTCAGCTCATACCCTTGAGGTTGGAAGTTGGCTCTGCCTCTCCCTTGATGGTGTCTGTTACTCTCTGGACCTGTGTACCCAGGTCCCGAATGGAACTTCTAGCTCTCAAATGGACCATGTGGGACTGTGAGAGAAGAGGGTTGAAATGATGGGTTGTACAGTTTGATAATATGCAAAAGTGACCAGCAGAGGGCAAGAATAGGGCTGGAGTTCAGCAGGTGCCCACTCACCCAGTTGGGAGCCTGAAGTGAGCTGCACTTTTCCCAAGAAAGTTCTTTGCACAAAGGGTCCTCTGACCCTCAGGTCATGCACTGCCTTGAGGAGGCAAGAAGAGAGTGATTGTGTCCACCTGAGAGGGTCTCCCCCGCAATTTGCACAGAGGCAAAGTGTAAGCTTGCAGAATCCTAGGTCCCTAGAGAAAAGTTGAATGCAGCTGAAGAGGATACTTTATGGCCTCTCAAAAAGACCATGGGGTACATGTGTGAGTCAGTGAGAAAAACACGACTTCCTCAAAATGGGGAACACTGGATCAGCTGAGCCAGTTTCAACTTGCTTTAGAAAGTAGAAGAATGTTACGTTGTTTTTCCCTCTGAGCATATTACTACTAGCTACCAGTCTGTGCTCCAAGTAGTTGGCTATGCTCAGGACATGCTTGCTCTAAGCAGCCTCAACATGACCAGGAAACTTGGTAGTATTACACATTTTGGGACCTAGCCCCAGCCCTGCTAAATCAGAAAATGTGGGCTGTTTCCCACCTGGCTGTGTATAGCAAGCCCCTGGGGTGATTCTGGTGCACGATGAAATTTGAAAGACACTGACCTAGACCTTCTCACCTCCAACAGGCCTAGATGCCTCTTGGGGATATTATTAAATCTGATCCTGACACTCAGTTTCTGGGAGCAATCTGTTTCTTCTGGCCCATGAAAAGTCAGGGCTTGTGGGGAAGTGACAGGGAGATCATTTTAAGTGTGTTGCTCCTATTTAAATGGGGCCTCTGGGACCCATGCTTACTTTTTTAGAACAAATAGTAATTATATGTGGCAAAATGCAGGATTCTTCCACAATGCATAATTTGTAGAATAGAACTGGTGCTCTTCCAGCTGTAGAATCTTGCTTCCTAGTAGCTCTGGGCTAAAACTGACTTTTTGTCTTCAATATTTTTTAGTTTTATGAATCTTTTTACCTTTCTCTGTTTAGTCTGCAACCTCTGTCTTATCATTTAACTTAACCCAATAGCCTACATTTTGAATTGCCGCAGAAAACAACTATCTGACTTGTTAGTCTGGATGGTCCTTTCAGATTCCAGCAATGGCGGCAGGTGGTGCCCAGAACCTTACACAATGTATCCAGACTCTCCTAGGACATCTTTCCCCATGGCCACCCATTCCCTGGAAATGGAGAGGAAACTGGGAATGCAGTGACTACCCTGTTTTCTGGCATTGGTGAAATAGAGATGGATTTGCCAATGGTAAGCCTTAACTAACGGACAAAAATGGTGTATTCTTTTCATATTCCAATGGCCATATCTTTAAGGTCAGAATTAGCATGAACTAATGAGCAAAATAAATTTTCTTCATCATCATTATATATTTCTTGAGTAAGATTTTAAAGACACATTTCCTGTGAATAACAGGGTAGAAATTTAGTTTGGAAATGAACATCAAAGGATAATGCTGTTTGAAATTATGCAGAAATTCAGAAACAGTTTTAAGACAGGTTAACGAGCTTCTGTCAGCTAAATCAAATTGAAAATCAGAAAAATATTAATATTGCTCAAATCTTAGAAAATTTAGTACTGTTTATAAAGAGTTAAAATAGGGAGAACAAATTATCCTCAAACCCATAGTTTAAATTTATAGATCAGTGTTACAGGCAAGCATTTTTAAAATGTCAGCACAGAATTGTTAGTCATAATAAGATATTTCTTGCCGATTCACTAGTTTTTGACCAATACTTCTTTGACAAAATTGTTTATCAATGTCAGAAAATAAACGTGGTTATTTCCTTGAGACAGTACTGTGAAACTAGTCAGTGAAAAGGTAGTTCTAGCCTCAGGTTGCCAATGATGTTTTTGTCATTAGGAGTTCCTCAAATTAAAATGTATTAACCTGCACTGTGTGGTTGGCTACTGGCACGGCCCCATTTTGTCTGTCTTCTAAATTGGTAGGTTTTTGATTTAGTGTCTGGACACTGAAAGAAAGGCTTGTGTGGTTAGTAGTAATTATAGTTGGTAATGTGAACGATCTAAAGCGAAAGAATCTGGTACATTTTCAATGAAATTACTTTAATTCATTGAAATCTCAGAAAATTACAGTCCTGGCCATCTATTCCAGAAGCACGCAGTAGGTGGCACCTCAAAGCTCTTTGGTGGAGAGCAGTCGCCATTTAAGCGGGAGCAGCCGCTGCTGCAGCAGGCATTTGGCAAGCGTGGAAGTCAGGGATAGAAGAGGGAAGAGAAAGGCCGAGGACAGCGGGGCGGCTTTGACAGCGCCAGGCCGCACTGGTAGGGTGCTCAGGTGCACGGGGGGCCTCAGGTGCGCTGGGTTGGGGGATGTGAGGCGCAAGAGGGCGCAGGTGCGCGGGCGGCGCGGGGAGCATGGGGGCTCCAGGGGCGCGGGGCGCATGGGCGCAGGTGTGCGGATGGGGTGGGGGCGTTTGGGGCACCGGCTAGCTAGCTGGCTCGGTGGTCGACTGGCTGACAGCATCACCACGGCGGCGGGAGGGAGTGTGCGCCCCGCCTGTCTCCGGGAGGAGCCTGCATCCGCACCCTCTGTGCTGCCTGGTCCTTTGCGAGGACAGCTGGGAAGAGGCGACGAGCAGTTGTGTTCCTTCTCAGGTAACGATTTCCCCTCCTTTGCTAGGGCTCCGCTGCGTCCGCATTAGGGCTTTGAGCACTTTGGCATTCTTATTTGTGAGTCTCTTAAAAGGGATCACCCTTTCTGGGAGAGCGAGCCAGCAATACGAATACTGGAATCCACGAGGGGGGAAATGTTGCATTTCTGTACCCTTGGCTGGGAGGGGTGAGCATTTTGCTATCCTTGTCTAAAACAAGTTATTAAAAATACTCACACACACTCATTATTTGGAATTTCTTCCAAAATAGAAGTTAGTGTTTTAGAAAATTCTATGGTTCAGGGGTTTCTACTAATGTAGAGGATGATTTAATGGATTTATGAAAGTTTTAAAAAGATGTAGTCCAAAGTGAGAAAAATGCAAAGCACCTTAGAGGCTGCTGTTTTGTTCAGCATCTTTTCCTACTAGACACAGCCCTTCATGGACTTGGCTAAATATTTTAATGTTCTTTTGAAGAATGCATTTGATATCTACATGTATTCCTTCATGCCCTGTGTTGTAAGAGCAGAATGCAGGAAAGGTGCTGCATCCCATCTGTAGTTATCAGTTAGACTGTGGTTCCCATAAGATGACAATGACTGTTCACAGCTCCCAGGCTGGCTTGCAAAGCATTGCTGGCTTCTCACCGTGTGGGAACTGGCCGGAATCCTCTGTAGAGAAATGCTAGTTTTCCCCTTTAAAACTCCAACTCACGTTCTGTGGATTTGGGAGACTTTTAAATGGGAAGCTCCATGATTCATGGGTTCCTTCCTTTGAATGGTGAAATAAAGCATAGTGTTGGGATTCCGTTTCTCCCGACTATGCAGTCACACAGCTTGCCTTCCTTAGGAATTCATGTTTTATGTTTGTCCCTGTTATCTTTTCAACAACTGTCTTCCATGTGAGAAGCAGGCATTAGCACATGAAGTCCTTTCCACTTTGAACTAAAAACTTTAAAAATATTCTTTTCAGGAAGATTTTCTAGATAACAATAAAGGACTGGAACATTTTACATTCCAGATCAGTCCAAATGCACTTCTTTTCCTGTGGCATTTGGATTCAAAGAGGTAGAGTGGGAGGAAGAGAAAAGGGGAGAATAAAATTAGAACAAATTCAACAAATTTGTGGGAAAATAATACTATTCTTTTTTTCTGCTTGAAATTGCAAACTGTCAACAGTTCTCTCTCTGGAAATGCAGGAGGTCCTATGGGCTATGGCACAGGAAGATCCACAGTTCATTTTATAGAAATAGAAGATAGAAAGCAAGGAGGCATTTTCATCTCATCTAATGCACACCATTTAATTTGGTAGTAAGGATGGTGGACCTGGGTGGACAGAGAAGGAGGGGGAGAAAGGAGGGACTTGCGGTTTGTACGGGGCAGGACATCGCTGCTCATTCCTAGGTTTTCTCTCCAGATGGAAATTGTATGTACATGGTTATTGTGGAAGCTTCCAAGCTTCCAGAATCTTTTCTTCTTAGAGCTTTGGTATAGAATTATTCCTAAGAAAAGATGCATAAAGCACCTAAATTGAGTGCTAATTGGTGGCATTCCTTTCCAGCTTGTGTCCAGCAGCCTACCTTTCTTAGCAATCAGTAATGCCTTCACCATGACAAGAGAGTGATTAACTTCATGCTATACATACCCTATAAGTTACACATGACTTCAGCCTACTAGAAATGGCTTTCGCAGGGTGGATACTACCTCTACTCTGATACCTACATATTACTAAAAAATTAAATTGAAAAATAATGGGGATTCTTTTATTAAAAAGAGATGCATCTATGATAAAAACATACTGTTTATTCTTCTAACATACTAATATTAATATAGTCTCAAAACACATGGTGAGATACTTATGTTTAAGGCTGTTCACTGACAAAAAAAAAAAAAAGCAGTGAAAAACTCGTTGATAAGTGATAGACCATCTCTTAGGGAGTCCTGTGCAGCTGTTACAAAGAACAAGATGGCTCTGTATATAGTAAGGGGGCAGATTTGCATGAAACACTGGGAGACTATACTCCCTTGTGTCTTTCTCTCCACAGATTAGCTATCTATTGAGAGCTCTCCCTCATTGACTAAGCATTAACAACTGATTCCACTCACCTGTAACTCACATGCTAAATGTTTCGTTTCCCACTTTCCTTTCCCATCTGATCTGTGTTCTTGACTATTTCTGGCAAATGAAACAGAAATCACCTTTGTTGCTGCCGTGAATTAATGTGAAAAAATGAGCTCAATCAAGTTAATGCATTGGAAAAGTATAGGGAATATTATTGATTTTTGCATTGGTAACTGTTTTGTATTATTTTCATTCTTACATGGACATTCTGAGATTTTTCTCTTAAAAGATTATCCATCTCTATCCTTTAGTCAATTCCAGATTCCACTGAAGTCTTTCCACTTCCATTATGGAAACACAAGCCATGTTTGGGGCCTGGGATCTTGCCCTACAACCTTGAGACAGCCAATGCCTCCTACACTTTAGTTGTAGGATTTGTACTAATTAGGGAATTGTACTAATTAGAAATTTGTACTCATTAGGAACTGTGAGTCTTTATTTTACCTGAGTATTGAAAGATATGTGAATCCTAAACATTTTCATATCCTCTCATTGCCTTCTAACACTTGGCAAAGACCATCAAAATCCGAGTTCCTACACTGACTCTGATCTCTGGCCTAAGCCTCTATTGTTCAGGCTTATCAGGTCACTTTTACCTCTGGCTTTAGGGCTAAGTTAAAATGCTGATTTAACTATCCCATAGCATAAGTATAACCCATATTTTCTCACAAGCATGTATTATATTAACCACTTGTGATTATTTAGAGTTCAGCTTTTGATGTGGACCTTTTTTAAGGCATCTATCACTTTTTGATGGGTCAGGAAATATACACAGTCATGTATTTTTAGCTGCCTAATATCATTATATTTTAAAATAGATACGAGACTGCTCTAAAAGTTTCTTGGCAATATTACATATTAGTGAAAAAATCCCTCAAATTTTGGAGTCTAGAGCTCTTTGTTGAATTGTTGTTAATTTGGATTGGCTTGAATTCCTTACTGGATTTGCTAAACCTGAGTTGAAATGCAGGTTCTGCCTCTTATTAGCTGTGCCATGTGTTACTTTAACATGCACATAGGTGGCACACACAAGGCCCATGGGCCGAATCTGGCCCTTCACGTTGTTTAATCTGGCCTGGCACCTTGTTTCTCCCTGGCAGCAGTGCCGAGTTCCTTACTCCTAGTTAAGGAGTAGTTATATTTATACAGTCCTAAATTTACATTTGACCCTTTGAAGGCAACCCCAAGGCTGATGTGGCCCCTGGTAAAAATGAGTTTGGCACCCTGACATCTCAGTACCCTTATCTGTTAAATGGGGCTACTAATAGCGAAATCGAAGGTGTTTTGAAGGTCAAGCTTGTGAAGGTCAACACTTGCTAGATGGTAGGATTCCTGGGCTGTTTTTGCAATTGCTATCTGATCAGCATCAACAGTTCCTCTATCTCACTGTCTCAGATTTATCCTTCCTCTTTACAACCTAGCACACAGCCCACTGTCTCATAGTTGCACTTTGCTTCTGGATGGAAGGATAGCATCAGCCTTTCCTAATTTACCTGGTATACAACTCTCCAATTAATTTTAAAATACTAATTCTTTCTCTCACATCTCTGAGCCAGGCTTACTTGCAGGACTCCCTATTTTTTTTATCTGGTTAAATCCCTCTTCCTTCTTTCATCAACATTCTTTCCTCCATTCCTTCACTGAGCTCATCTCCCCACAGGCAGTCCTAACTCTATAATTGAGTTCATGCTGTTCTGAGGATGTAAGACTGTCCCCTGCTTCATGTTTATGTCATTCTAGTCTTGAGCTATTCATCTTGTGATGGTGCTGTGGGTCCTGGCCTTGATTGGAAGCCTGCTGAGGACAGGTGGTGCTAGGACTGTCTGATGTTATGTGTGACTCGATTCCAGACACACCAGTAGATACAGCCTTCTATAGCTTGTTTTGCTGATCTGCCTAGTGACTGTAGAGCAGACACAAATAAATATTCATTGACTAATTGTTCACAGCTTCTGATAGTATGCCCCGCCGTTTCTCACTCCATCAGCTTCTGACCTCCTAAATATTCTTTTTTTCTCTCATCAAGGGCCTTGGGCCCTGCTTCAATCTTTCTTCTCATGCTAATTTCAAATGTCATTCTTTTGAATATTTTTCTCTACTCCTCTTAAGCTCCACACCCCCAGTCACAGGGCATCTTTTCAGTGCTGGAAACTGGCCCACTTCCAGAGGAGCCATAGAACATGCCCTGTCTGACCATAGCACCTGGTCTTTGCAACATGCTTACTCAACATCTCTTTGGATCTCTCCCAGAACTTGCATTTTGTCTTGCTAATATATTCATTTGTTATCTTCCCATTAACATTTATACATGTTCATGTCCCTATATTTTAACATTAATTAAAAAGCACCCTTTAAAAATTCAAAACTGGGTACCACTCAGCCACTAATTCATAACCTTCCTCCAATTCACAAAGTCTCGGAAACTATGTCTTCACCGCCTGTATCAAATTATGCATCTCATGCTCACTCCTCAACATATTGCAATGTAGCTTCTCCTTGTGCTGCCATCAAAATGTCTCTTGCTAGGTTCTTGTTAGTGACTTTCACTGCCTTCTTACTGAGGGTGCTTTCCAGTTCTCTCTATACTTCACTTCTTGGCATCCGTTCACCCTGGCGAGCCCTCTCTTCTTTGAGAAGTAATCACTCTCATTGGCTTTGATAACATGGCCCTTTAGTACAGTTACTTGTACCATTTTAATTCTTTGTACTCAACTTCCTATCCAAACATGACAGTTGGAGTCTCTTGAGGCTATGTCCAAGTCCTCTCTCTTTCGTTTTCAGAAGCCTGGGCTTCTGAGCCTGCGCTTCAAGGCCTACCACAACACTGATGACTCCCACCTGTGCATCCTGATCTCAGACACTACAGGTGGCCCAGGATGTGTT